AAATGAAATGTTATTCCATATGAATTCACCATTAGTATTGTCAGATTTATGCTCATTTTGTCATGGTACCCCGAGAACCTAGTGCATCTTTTTGTTGAATGCGAGTCTATTAAAGTCCTCTGGACATCAATTTTAATGAATGGGGAACAAAACTAGGATGCCCAAGAACATTGTCAGCAAAACAGGTTATATTAGAAAACAAGTACTTCTCCCATCTACTAAACCATATAATTATAATTGTTAAAAGAAATATCTATACGTGTAAATTAAAAAGAACTACCATGCTTTAATCTCATAAAATCTGATATACGTTACATGCAAAAGATAGAGTTAGACATTTCAAAAAGAAGAGATACAATGTCCATTTTCCTGGACAAGTGGGGAGACTTCAATTGTTAATGGGTATTCAGTGTATATTTTGTATGGGTTATAATACCTGTGACATTTGTTGTATGTTGACATTGTGTGTAAAGGATGTCTATTGTATGGAATAAAGGATATTTAAACCAAAAAGAAAAAAAAATGTTCCTCATGGAAATTTCTTACATAAAAGACAACATATCTTCGTTAGTTGTACTTGAGTGAAGACGAATAACGAATAGTTCTATAGGTGGAGTAGTTCTAACTGTTCTGAGACTACTTGTAACTTCATTCTTAGTCCCAGCAATTGTCATAGCGAAGATTACATTTAACAACAGTTATACTACGTTTTGTCTCGACCCCATTGTTCTAACTATGTTTCTTACTTTCGTTAGCGGACAGTTTCAACCTAATTATGCATTCCTGTTAACGGTACTGTTTTATCAATGGATTAACAAGCCGGGACAACAGGAGCGGAAAGATGATTAACATAACAGGTAGCTATTGAATGAAAACAAAGAACAAGGTAGAATTTTCATTTAATTATTTAAATACGCAATGACGATTGTACGATACATTTCAAAAACGTATTTCAAGTTTCATATTTCTTTTTACAAAATTCACGGTTATGACAGTGGTATTAGATTTGTCCTCGTCTGTTGGGGTGGGGGATATGTCATGCGTTTTCGCTTCTTTCGCCGTTTTCGGTGTGGGTGGCTACAATGCGTCTGACACTGCTTATGTCTGCTCGTCGCTGGTCCGCTTGTAGCTTCTAATTGCTAGACTGGAGTGACCCGTTCTTTTTGCTATTAGCTGCTCGTCGAAATTTTGCCGGAACAGCGTGGTTGCATGTGTAACCTGTTTAATTAAAATAAAATACAATGTATTAATATGAAAGTACAATAGCTTGTAACAGTCCACCTCATAGCAATTTAAAATATTAATATATTGTTATAGTACTTTTAATCGTTCAGCTTTTTTAAAACACGCCAAAGCCGTTTGCATTAAATCTTTATCGCGTGAAATGAATCCGACATATCGTGCCAGTGAATATAATATTTAAATGGTATTCCACCAAACAATTTGCATGAAAAAATGGAGTTAACGAGTGGTGATTATTTTCGACATAAAGTTATGACTATTTCTCGTCGGCGGGGAAATCAACATTTCATTACTAAAGTGCAAATTCTAATACATACTTTTCCTGAATGCCCAGTATGATAACCGTTTATCCCAGCTAGATCAGTCATCTGCTTACTGTATCCCTGCAATGTATGAACACCAAGCTTTTGTGCAGAGAACTTTATTTCGCCATTCTTTGACTTCAGTGGTCTTCTATAGAATGGCCCGCTGTTTGGGATATATGACAGATATGTCCGAAACAAGTTTACACAGCGCGAGTTTTCTGGTGGCGCGTAGTGTTTAATACTCTTAATTTTGCCCTGGTTTGCAGTAGAATCCTCCCTGGTCAGATTTCGATGGTTTTCCTCGGAATAACATGAACTCCCCATATATTCGCTGTGCATGGGGAGTTGGTCTACCGTTAGTGTTGAATGTTCATCAGCGGCATACAGTCCAAATATTTTACACATGTATAAATAGGTTGCATAACTCATGCCTAATTTGTACCAAACGCGTGTGCCTATAGCTTTTCTTCATCATTTGGCGAAAATGGCTCGGCTTGTTTTTTTTCGGATACCAATACCAGAGTGAGAGAGTGTCTTCATGACACTATCTAGCGTATTTCTGAAACCTAAGAAGTTGTGGTTGCCCTTGTCCTTAAAATTGAGGTCAGGGCGGTTACAATCATCGCGCAGATAGCGGTAAATTGCACAGAACATTTGTCTTAATGAGTCTGGTGGATACTATTGGCCATCTTGTCTCCGACTTTCAATGGCAAATTTTCATAGCCAGAAATCAAATTCCTTTGGGACTAAATTTTCATCCAGAGACGGAACCAAATGATACACTTCTACATCAGATTTATCATACTCAACTTTAACATTACGTTGCTCTTTCCACTCATTCCATGTTTTGACGCCCCATTTTGTAGCGCTGCAAGTTGTCTTGGGTATGCGTGACTGCTGGTATTTGGTGACTTGTTTGCTGTCAACTGGAGGCAAAAAACGGAATTCTGTTTGAATATTGCTCAGTTTAAAGTCCTCGGCGTCGTACACATCAATTTGGCACAACCAGTTTTCCAAATCCCAGTCAATTTCCGGAGCAGCAACTTCTTGAGCGGACATGATTCTGGCGGATCTCCGGAGTTCACCCAACAACGTTCTACACTGTTCTCACAAATGAGCACCAAATTCACATGATCGAATGTTTTTTATGCAATTCTACGTGATTAAATCAGTGGTGGTTATGGTAATACAATAAAGTCCACTGTTGGTGGATTCTATTGTTAAACAAAACCAACTCTGCTGAGTAAATGCCGATTGACTAGAGCTTTTCAACACATCTGTTATAGCCAATGAGCACAGCTGAAAATTGCGGTTGACTACACCTGGTTTAGAATTGCGATTTACACAATAGCGCTGTAAACATCTGCCATGACCACAGGATTTAACATAAGCCATGCAAAACTCGTCGAATTCGCAGTATAACTTCGTTATACTACCTCTCCTCGTAGATTAACGGCAAATAGTGGCTCCTTTTTAAAATAGGCCGTGCAAAACTCGTCCAATTCGCAGTATGCTACCCCTTCTTTTAGCAAAAGGAGCCGCTATTTCCCGTTAATCTACTCGTAGGGGTAGTATAACTATCAGTAAATTCGTTGTCACTGGAGACCGATGATATGCGAGAGGCAGGTGGTTTAGCTCTTTGATTGACCCCTGATATATCACTATTACTTGCAACGAATATCGGTGTTCGCTTTAATGCTTCACTATATCGTTTTGGCACTTGGAATATTTGATCCCCTATTTGATTATTCACAACTATGTCATTAGTATTATCCAATTCGTCACATTTTGTAATTGGATCTTCATTAGTTTTGTCATCACGTACTATTTTGCAAGCAGTAAGATTTTCAGTTACATTATTCTGCACCTGTTGCTTCAGTGACGCTTTCAATTCATTTATCTTTGTACGTAATAGTTCAGAAAGCACGCCTTGTTTGTCCCGTTTATCTCTATCATCATTGTTAAGATGTGCAAACTCATATCTCAGGGATTTTAATTCTTTCAAAATTACAGTCACGTCAATATTAGTTATATCAACAGAAGGTAATTTAGCTAGATCTTGAGCGACAAAACAAGGTAAATTGACATCATCAAGCTCGTGCATTAATATGATCATATCATGGATGTTATTTGCTCGCTTATTTTGACCTTTTCTTTGTATTCGTCGATTACTGGAATCAGATTCACATGTCTCGTATAATATTTTCAACTTCTTTGTCATCAAATACATCGAAGGATAGTTTAACATTGACGTCAAATGGCAACACGTCAATTTTATTCCACAGGAAACGAAGGAGCTCATTAATAATAATACGGCCTGTCACCTGCGAATTTATCGAACGTATAGAAACCTCGATTTTTCTCATATTTTTTCTGGCCATTGGTCCAGGAAAACGAACCTCGTTACAGTTGTCTCATAATTCCAGATCGCCTTCACACAATTTGACCTGCTGAGATACCCACAGTCCACACACAATGAAATCCTATCGTCAACTGCATGCAATTATGTCCGACTTCGCCAAACTACTGTGACATTCAGAGAAGTATAATCTAATCTTGACACTTACGGCAATAGAACAGCACAGATCAAGTTTAAAAGTTCACCAGTTAATGGAGTTGATATTCATAGACACGTCAACTTACAAAACACAAGGATAAAACCATTAGTTGATAAGAAAACAATAATCAAACACGGAACCTATTTCCTATCACCTACTTTCAATATTGTTTGTCATACAATCACTTTGCTATACTAGATGCGACATATAAACTTTCCTTGGCGTTGGACACACCTGTAATTGATTTCTATATATGTGAATACCCAAACATATCCACTAAAAAGTACAGATGATAATCCTAAATGTGATTCAAGTATTCTTATTACGCCATGCTTAGATAGATTTACTTTTATTTAGTAAGAGCCATTTATGATGTCATTTAGAATTAATATACATAATTAGATTGCATCTGTATCTGGTAGTATTTTGCAGCACTGCATGATAATGTACAAATTTGAAAATAGTTCGTACTGTAGACAAACTCGTCATATTGTATGTTACACAACTTTAAACATGAATTGTCTGTATGTTGGAAGTGTATACTATATATATTTCTTTTTTGATTCAAAGATACTGAAATGAACGATTGAATCAGCAGTGTCACTTGCACATAATTGCGGTGCTCTGCCATTCTGTCCAAATAATAAACAAAATTACAATGCTGCTCTATATATTCAAGTCAGGCATATCTTCTTGAAAGGAATAAAGCGCAAAAGCGGCTACTCTGAACTCAATAGCAAGTGTCATTAATTTAATTGGACATATGAGACAGAAATGCGGATGTTGTTTGTGCCAGTAAAACAACAACAACAACCACTACTCTTCACTACTGTCATATGCTATACTGAAATATATATTTGACCCTTTCCAAGTACGAACAAAAATACACATATTTTGCATAACAAAATGAAAGATGCAAAAATGGTTGTACTGGAATTTATTAGATAATGCAATGTGCCGATTGAGCTCAAAATAATGTTTCGGAATGCAAATAAATATAGTATATTTTTGCAATAAAAACGCTCATTATATCATTTATTTATGACTGCACCAAGATTTATGTTCGTGTAAGCAATTAGCCACAATAAACACATCTGTACTATACTTTATTTTTAACACTTTATTGCTGTCATCCAATGAAAATTATTTCTAAGGATGCAATTCATTATTACTACCCAGTGAGAAGATTGCAACATAAACACAACCAACTCCTTAAATAGAGAAGACAATGCATTGTACTTTAAAGACTAATACATATGTCAAATAGATTATGGCTGTGCCAGAGGGTCTGATTATGTGCCGTACTGAACCAGTGTAGTGTGTAATGTAGTTGTTTATTACAGTGTAGTTGTTAGCTCATCTTGTAAAATATCTCATTACTTCACTAACAACAACAACAACAACAACAGCAACAACAACACTATTACTAAGAAACCCAAGTCCAAGTACAATCATTTTTCACATTGGCTGCTGAGTAAAATTGTAGAAATACCCCGGACAAAGCAATATCATATCATGATCGTCTCCTTGGAAGTGATGACATCGTCCAGCTTACTTGCATGGAAACGTAATATTGATGATACATGGATTTGTTTAATGCAAACAATTGTTCGTTAAGACAAATTTTGTTATGTAAAATAAAATGCTTACAATAGAATATTGATGATTGGAAATAGTGTGACAGCAATTTATACAATTAGGAGATACTTGTAGTCATGGTGAAGGTAATTATGCAGTGATAATCATTATATTAACTCGGAGATAAATTTAAAATTGGTATGAAACTGATATACTATTTTGCAAAATTCAACGCTTAAAGTTAATATTTAACTAATGAAAAATCTCATGAACATCATGACAATCGTTAATGTTTTGTGAAATAAGATATGTATAACAGATATTTCATTCGTCATATTTGATGGACAGATATATTTCCTTATGTTTGCAATTTGTTTATTAGTTATTAGGTAACCTGTGAAAGGGGGTCACGAGGTTATGGTCGAAGTGTGAGCATCGTGTACACGTCCTCTCTTCAAGATATCCGCTTTTCTCAGCTTATGGGCAGTAAGTTGACGAAGAGTTACTGCGGTAAGGAAATTAACTTGTATTGCCACATTACTGCTACATTTATATTAAGAAAAGGAATCGACCTCGACGGGAAGGAAAAAATAGACCGACAGACACAGAATTGATCTCCAGATACTTCCAAGATGGCCGACCCGACGGACCGACAGGTGGCACAATTACGCACGACATTTTGAAGCTATTGATGAAAGAATGTTTGCAAGGCTTGTAAACCAAAATTAACGCAATAACAGAAACAACGTCTATTTTGCAAGAGCAAAACAATATTTCTGAAGACTTACTGCCGTTAAAGTCTAATGTACAGATTTGTTAAGTCTGTGGAATTTACATGTGAAGAAGTGGTTTTCTTGAAAGCGTCAAACTAAATTTTACAAAAAAAATTCAGTGAGCTACAAGCTGAACTAAAGTTAACCAAGTCACGTATGATTTTAATGGAAAACGCTAATATAAATACAGAACGCAACTCGCGTAGCTTCAACCTAAGGTTTGGTGGTATTACAGAACGGGATACGGAAAATTGTGCATCTCTCGTCCAAGACGTTTTGTCTGCGAAGTTTTATATGCCAAATGTTTTAATTGATAATGCTCACCGAGTACCAGTCGACGTTAAAAAAGTCAAACACAGCACCACCTCATATACTTGTGAAATTTCCAATAAGACTACAAACAGACGGACAGCTCTCCAGGATTCGGATATATTTGTAGTTGTTGATTATATAACACAAACAGGTCATGGATGTGATGGATAGTGCCTTTAGAGCCGTAAAGAAAGTTCGTTTTTCAAAT